TCATTTATAAAATAATGAGAAATAGAAAGGATAGATGATCTCAGGGACTCAGAGAATTACACCTGTAGGAGAAGCCTGGAGATCATCCAGTCCAAACTGCTTCTTTTATAGGTAAGAAACTTGTGACTTAAGAGAGGCAAAATAACTTGTTCCAGGACATATAGCTTGTTATTGAAAGAATTGGAAGTCACTAAGCTTCTGAGACAGTGTTCCTCTCTAGGATATCATTTGGTTCTATAGCTGGGATATTGTAAACGTATAATTAAGGTCCAGGATCATGACCTTGAGATATGGAGAGGTCCTTAAGTATATTTGGAATTATTGAATCATGCTTTTTATAACTACAGTATGCTCACTGCGATTTTAACATTAAGTTTATTTTACCACATTCTGATTACTTGAGAATTGTACTGGAAGTGTAATGTATGTGTCTTGGGTCCATGGGCCCATCATTACAAAATGAAGCCACTTTATTTGTATTATCTGCATTATTATGTAGGAGTGCTCACTGGCCAGATCCTGGCCACCCCCCTCCATGTGTTCCCAATTATTTCTGAGAGTTCTCAAGTTCTTCCTCTCTGACTTCTCACCTTACTGCCACAATGCTGTGTCTGCTGCTACTAACTTTTGAACCAGAGCCTCAGGCTCCACCTGCCCCAGAAAGAGATAGAGATGATCATTCCAACTGTGTTCTTGGGGGGATTAGAGATGATTTACATAAATGCCTGGCATGCGGAAGTATTCGGAAAACGTAAACTCTTATTATTTTAAATTTCTTTACCACCAGAGTTTCTAGAAGCACAGCTAGGTGGTTGAGTTGATGAATTTCAGTGTCATTTTCTTCAATTTTCTGTATTCACTCTTTGCTTTAGGTGCTCTTAACAGAGTAGTGCAATAGTTAAACATGATTATGAGAGAAGGAAGTTCATTCATTCATTCACTCATTCATTCATTCAGAAAACATGCATGAGATTCAATTTCTAGGCTGGGGAACACAAACATGTACAACCCATTTCATGGGTTTAGAGGTGACCGTGAGAGAGAAGACTACACAAATTGCAGCAATACAAAACAGTATGTAAATTCCTTTGAGTTTCAGGGAGGAAGATATCACTCCTGGTTGGAAAGACAGTTAACAACTAATATTAATGGAGCAGTTTCAGAGCACTTCCACATGCATTTTAGAACTTGATTCTCACAAAAACCCTGGGATCAGAACTCTCATTTGCAGATGAGAAGACAATTCAGGGCAAATAGAGTGGATTACCTGGGCTTGCTCTGGTAGGAAGTCAGCCCTAGGGTCTGACTGTTCAGGTTCTAAAGTTCTCTCCACTGCATCATACTGGGAAAGCTTCTCAGAGAAGTGACTTCATGGACTGAGCATTTAAAGAGGGACCACTTTTGACAGGGAGAGGGCCAGGGCTTTTTAGGTAAATCAAACAGCAAAGATGTGAAGGCTCCAAAGGCTAAGACATATTTTGGAAAGGGTGAGTAGAACAGGTTAGCTGAAGCATAGTTATTTGTAGAGGAGTCAGAGATAAGAAAAGTACACTTCACTGTGGCTGGATCACACATGATCTGAACTACCAGACTAAGGAGTTTAGAAATGATTTGACAGACAATGGTAGAGGGGAAGGAGTGTGCTGAATACGGGGAGAATTAGGTAGATCTGGGGGTGGTGAGTCAGATTATGTGGGGAAGCTGGAGGAAGCAGGGGAACCAGTTAGGAGGCAGTGTCAAGGTAGACTTGTGGGTGGCACGGGCAGAAGAGCCAGATCTAAGAAGCACTGAATGATGTCTTAACATGATGACTAGGTGTGGGAGTTGAGAAAGAGGCAAGGAGTAAAGATGGCTCTCAGCTTTGAGTGGCATCCCTAGGAGAATGGTAATACCATTCTCCTAGGGACTCCAGGAAAATGTTGGCCAACAGAGTATGCCAAATACGCCAACAGAGTTGGTGTATTTACCCGAGGAGCTGACTTTGAAGGAAAAATCATGAGTTTCCTTTTGGTTCTGCTGTGTTTGTGTTGCATTCAGGGTATTGTCGCCTGATTACCCACTGAGAAGGTGGGTGGTGAGTCAGAAGGAGAAGAGTTTGACTGACTTCCCAGGCAGAGGGCTCTTCCTTTCTGTCTCTGTTCTGCTCCCCACCCCCCTTATTGTGTCTGATGACAGCAATGCCTGCTCTGTGGTAAACACTCAAAATAAGTCTGGAAAAGAAATCCACGTAGAAGACTTGTTGGGAAAAGTTTTAGGGCAAGGGAGATTAGGGTGAGGGAAAAGAGATGGTTGCTAACGATGGGAAACACCAAATTTGTGTCACTGTGATTTCCCAGAGATTAAGGACTCCAAGGCGTGGTGGCAGCTGCAAGTGGCAGAAATCTGGTGGAGTTAAGAATACGGAGTGAAGAGAGACTCTGGGGCCAGCATGTCATGTTTAAGTTGCTGGGGATAATGGCAAAGAGTAAAAATGACTGAGTTAGACCCAGGCAAGAGAGGCCCCTGCTCTGGACCCTGCCTTTTAAAGGACCTCACTCTGTCTCTCTTCTGTATCCCCCCTTGCTCTACCCACTTCATGGGGCTAAGAGGTCATGCTCACTGCTTCTAGATCCAGCTCTGGGTACCAGAGCCCTGGGATGCCCTGCTCAAATGCACAAGCCTGCATCCAGGGGCTACCCAGGCCCCTATCCTGGGTCTGTCCTGGTAGAGATACACAGTGCCACTACTTTGCACACTCCAGGCCTGAGCAATGGCCAAGGATCATCCCTAGAAGTGAGTAGGGGGATGTAAATAAAGTTTTGGGGGTAAGTGGCAGAACTTGAACTTCGCGGGTAGGGGTATGCACATGTGTGCTATTCCCGTGTAGGATGGAGCCAGGAGATGCAAAAGAAGGGAAACAAAAATTGGGGTTGGGGGTGGGGGAGGGTTGGCTTCCAGCCCTATTTGCATGCCCACATTCCGAAGCAGAAGTCCAAGGAGTCAGGGAATTTAAATTCAAGCCCAGACTTCCAGGTTGTAAAGAAAGTGCATTTGTCAATGTCAAATGTTAGAATATATTTTATTTAATTCTGTAAGTTTAATTCACACCTTCTCAATATTTATTTATTTATTTATTATTTATTTATTTATTTTCAGGACCCAACACGGGTCCTGAACTCATGACCCTGAGATCCAGACCTGAGCTGAATTCAAGAGTTGGACACTCAACTGACTAAGCCACCCAGGTGCCCCTATATCTTCTCAATATTTAGATGTACTATGTAGACGTCCATTTGTGATCCTATCCTCATACGTTAGGGGTCTTCAGAGTCAGCAGGTTATAAAGATCTCCCCATTGTGAGTCTTGGGCTTTCTTCCCCTTTCTTGACAACCATCACACTTTTGGGGTGATAACTTGTTTTATTATCTGTCTCCTCTGATAGACATGAAGCTGTCTGGAGGCAGAAACCAGGCTGTCTTGTTTACAAATAGATCCTAGTGTTAGCACAATGACTGACACATGGTACGTGCTCACTAAATATGTTTAAAACTATAAAATGATGAAAGACTTACACATTTGATGACAGCAAAAAGGGTGGAGAGAAGTGATGGAAGAGGGTAAAGTAACCTTTAAAGAGAATGCCTTGCTAAATTATAATAGAAATGGAGCAGCAGTCTGGAAGTTTCTCTTGCAGTCAGTCAGGGAGACTGGCCAATACACACTGCTGTTGCCTTAAGAACTAAAGTTCTATTCATTCTAAATTTTAGGTGAGTGCTATGGTTGTTTCCCTTCAAATGAGTGGTTGGATCAGGATCAGATATTATAACATGAGGGCCTAGAATTCTCAAGGGACTGATGCACTGAAGTGCATTTAAAAATGCAAACTGACATTTAAAAATGAAGAGAAAACACAGCCTTTTGGTTTCCTTTGAAAAACTGGACCTTTGGCAACAGTGTCTTTAAATGGGCCTGTGTTTATCAACAGGCCACATCCTACCACTCACAAAACAAATGCCACGGCCATTGTAAGGCCTCTGAATTCATGACACCTGGACCGCCGGGTCTTTAAGGGCCCTTTGCTTCGGAAAAATGTCTTCTTTAACCTCTTTAGGGTTATATTTCTACCAACCTTTGAATTACCTCAATATCATTTGAATTGTACTATAATGTTGCATACCTGCTTATATCTGCCATAGATACTGAAACTGATTATCTCACATACAATCAAAGAAACCCAACTGCTCCAGAAAGCCACTTTCTGTTAGTGTTACTGATCGAAATTTCCTGTCATTAGTCCTCCGATGACCGGAAGGGAAGATACTAGATCGGAGAGTCTGCAGATGAGAATTTGACTGCTTCCTGAAGGCTGAGAAGATTATGTGTGGTGATGGAACTAGAGGGGTTAGGGACACGGAAATGAAGGAATTGCCAGTGTGAAGGTTGCAGAACCGGGTTTGGGAGGATGATGAAGAAACCGAGAAACAATGCTACAGCGCTGATTTGTTCAAGTATTTACTGAATATTCACAACGTGCCAAGAACTGTTTTGACGCGAGGAATTCAGCAATAAACCAACAAAAGTCCCTGCTCTCACTGAGCTTAATTCCATTGCAGTAAGCCAGGTCGCATATACATAAACACATCGCAAATCTACATGTCAGATGGAAATAATTACTATTTATAAAACCAAAGCAGAGCAAGGGAACAACGAATGAGGGTGGCTGCTATTCCAGGAGACCCCAAAGAAGCAAGGAAGCGAAGCACAAACCGTCGATTGGTTTCTAATTTTCTAGGCTACTGGGAGCAAGATGCACCTCCCAGGAAGCCCCGCCCCGCCCTCCCAATAGGGCGCAAGGTGCCATCTCCTGGAGAGCCCCTCCCACTTCTCCGCCCAGGGGCTGCCTTGGGGGCGGGGCTTCGCGCCCGGGCGCACTGAGCGCCCCGCACTGAAAGCCGCGCGCGCAGAGTTCCCGGCATTCTTCCCGTTCTGTCAAGGCCGGGAGAATTAACCCCACTGGTACCTGGCATGCTGGGAACTGTAGTTTTTGCCCGCAGCTCCGCGTCTCAGGGGGCAGTGAAAGCCGCTCGATCCGGCTCCATTCCTGGCACATGACTTGCATCCTTCAGAGATTGTGGGGAGGCCCTAGGGGAGGTGGGGGTCGTCCCGAGAACAGTCGGGTGGCGTCCAGACGGGGGCCGTCCCGGCCACGTGACCCCAGCAGGCCCGGCGCGCGCGACTCCTCCTGCTATTCCCGCCCCGCCCCGCCCGGCAGTCGGCCTGCGCCTCCCCCGGCGCTGCTGCCACCTCGCGCTCGGAGGCGTCACGGAACGTGCTCTCCTCTCCCCCTCCCCCTCCCATCCCCTCCTGCCCTCCCCCACCTCCCCCTCCCGCGCCGAGACTCGCCGCCGCCGCCGCAGCCGCAGGAGTAGCCGCCACCGGAGCCGCGCGCAGCCATGGCCGAGAACCCGGGCTTGGAGAACCACCGCATCAAGAGCTTTAAGAACAAGGGCCGCGATGTGGAAGTGAGTGTGCTTCCGTGGTCTGGGCCCGCCCGGCTCGCCCGCCTGGCCGCGGCGGCCCCACGGCGGCGGGGAGGGGCGGGGGACCGGCGCCGGGCTGGTTCTCGCCGGCTCGCGGTGGGTCGGAGTTGGCCGCCGCCTCCCGTCACCGTGGCCGCGGGCTGGGCGGAGCGGGCGACGGGACCGCGGGCCGGGCTGCAGCCACCCTCCGGAACTGCCGGCACGGGGACCGGGAAATGCCGGGGTTTTCGGCCCCGTCACGCGGGCGCGGCCTGCTGTCGGCGAGGAAGGGATGTGGAACTGAGGCGGGGTCCGCGGCCGGGGCCTCGCGGGCCGGGGATGCTGCCGCCCCTGTCCGTCGACCGCACCGCGGAGGGGGCGGCCGCGACTCGCGCCGGCCGCCCGTGCAGCCTCCCGCCCGGCGCGGCCCCCTCGGTGTCTCCCGCGCTGCCGCACATGGAGCTGGGGCTGTGCGGGTCCCCGCGCATATCTCCTGCGAGCGGGGCCCAGGCGGGCGGTGGCGGCCCGCCGAGGGGGGTGGGGACCAGCCGGGTAACTGACTTGTTTGAGGGTGGTGGATGGGGGAGGGTAGGATGCGCCAGGACCATTTTCTCATATTCCAGTGCTGTCCTTTGGACCAGTCTTGATAAGCTCTTCCAGCTCATACTCCTGTTACTGTTGGCATTTGGAGCAAGCTGAAGGTGGACAATAGTTTACCATCTATTGTGTTGAGGCTTTTGAAGAGACGTTGTTCGACCTCCGCTCACAGGACCTGTTTTCTTAGCCGTTCTTGTAGTGGGATTGTGCATGGGATAATAATTTCTTTGACATATTCTACCGGAATAAATTGGATACATAGCTTCGTACGGCCTTGTATATATCTCTTTCTTCAAGCCGGTACAATTTCCATGTGGTTGCAAAACTGTAAACATCTTGGTCACTTAGTTGGTTGCTACTCAGCATGTTGCCATTGTTTTATTAAGGTGACATTAGCAGGTACTATTTGCAAACTCGGCTTATTGAAGCAGCGCTAGAGGTCTCTCTGCAGCTACTGAAAGCAATGTAGTATACAGCACAAACTTCCCTGGGACTCTGACCTCTGGAATTGTTAGGGAGAACGTGGCTTTAAGTCCACAGCGTCCTTTTCTAATACTAGGTGACATGATTTGCAATTTTGCAATTCTTGATAAAGGGCCAGTGTAACTAAGAAGTGTGCATTTTTCCTGTCTTAGAGAAGGTGGTGGAGAAACTGTCCGTGTTCTGTTTTGTAGAGAAACAGACAAAACCCCGGGCGATTTTTCAGAGCTACAAAATTAAATGCTAATTGGGAAAAACCTAAGGAATTCCCATTTGAATAACACAAAAGTCATCTATCTCTATTCTGGTCATGGTTAAATTTTTTTTGTGAGAAGTGTTTCTAAGCAAAAGTGAAACTTAGGAATGGCAACAAGAACATTTTGGAACTGCCTCCTGTTATTGGTCCACTTGATGATAGTTAATTTTGAACTTTTCCCATCAGTAATTGTTTTTGAAGCTTACCACTATTATAAAGAAAAACTTACATAGTTTGAAAAATACTCATATTGTTTGTACCAAAAAACTAATAACATTGTTTCCTCTCTTGGATATTGGTACAGGTTTTTGTTTTATTACTTGCCTATATTATTGTGTTCTGGGAGCTCAATGCTACCTCGTAAGGACTCCTGCACTTAATAGGTATGCAATAAATATTTGCTGATGATCAGAATGTAATTAATGACTTCTGTATGCATGAGAAATAGAGGCATTCCTGCCAAGCCTTTTAGCCTGAAAATAGTGGTCATAATATTACATTTCCCAGGATACATTAGGGTAACTAAGGCATGAAATAGCAGACATTCAAATGGTAGTTCTAAGGGGCGGACACTATACTAAGAACTTCATGAGACTTCATTTAATCCTTATAAGAATTTTATGAACTGTGGGGCACCTGGGTGGCTCAGTGGGTTAAAGCCGCTGCCTTCGGCTCGGGTCATGATCCCAGGGTCCTGGGATCGAGCCCCGCATCGGGCTGTCTGCTCAGCGGAGAGCCTGCTTCCTCCTCTCTCTCTGCCTGCCTCTCTGCCTACTTGTGATCTCTGTCAAATAAATAAATCTTTAAATAAAATCTTTAAAAAAAAAAGAATTTTATGAACTAGGTATAGCATTATTCCTACTTTACAGGAGGAAAGTACTTTAGGGGAGGAAACGGGAGAGTGCTTATGTAGCATGTACAATTTCATGAAGTGGGTATGAGCATTCATTCACTAATTGTCAATTGGATGTCTAACTGTTGGGTCTTGGGCATGCACAAGAGAATAAAATTCAGCCTGTACCTCAAGGAGTTTACAGTTCAGTGGGGTAATAGAAAAGTAAACTGATAATTACAATGTAGTACATCAATAAATATATTCTGAGAAAATTCTAACTTGGGGATGAGCAGTCAGGTGGGGGATGTTCCGGTTGATTTCTAGTGGATGAATTAGAGTAAGCTGATCCTGAAAGTTGAAAGAAAGTTGGCCTGGTAAAATGCAGGAAAAGGGAGGGCACAAGGAAGGGGCATTGCAGGCTTGTGGGAGGAGTAATTCAGCAGTCCTGAGAGAAAGCAGTAGGACTGCTGAGAGTGAAGGGAATATGACTAAAGGGTAAACTGGGGTCAAATGTGGTAAGTGTCTCTGTTGTGGATTTAGGTATAACCAAGACTAGTCACTGTATCTAACTTAGTTTTATCCTTTAGCAACTGTGTTAAATCAGAAACCTACACAACAGTTTAGCTTTGTGACTTAAATAGTTGTGATTATCAGGCTATTTCAAAACAGTGAGATGTACTTTGATGAGATGTGATTCCTACCTTTTCATGCGTAGGATATACAAAAGATATAAAATATACAATCAGCTGATACATAAATAAGGTGCTATGTGCAAGTATAAAATACATATTTTCTTTTTTTTTTTAAGATTTTATTTATTTTATTTGACAGATAGAGATCACAAGTAGGCAGAGAGGCAGGCAGAGAGAGAGAGAGGAGGAAGCAGGCTCCCTGCTGAGCAGAGGGCCCATTGCGGGGCTTGATCCCAGGACCCTGGGATCATGACCCGAGCCGAAGGCAGAGGCCTCAACCCACTGAGCCACCCAGGTGCCCCTAAATTACATATTTTCTAAAGAAAATAAAAGTAAAGAGGAAATTGTGGGGAGAGGGTGGAGGAAGAGCACAATTTCATAGTCAGTAAAGAATGGCTTCATAGAAAAGAGGTTGGTGAATTTTATAGGAAGTATGTGCTAAACTTGAACAGGGCACAGAAGAAATTCATCAATGAAATCTAAGGCGAGAAAGAGGAAGGAATAGTTTAGGGAGTGAAGAGATGAGACTTCCATATGGCCCATGGTGGTCTGAGAAATATGTCTTAGCAAAGAGTTGCTTGGACACTTACTGACAGGGAGATCTGAAGGAATTTATTCCAGAGTAGAGTTAGAAGGTACAACATGATTAGAGCAATTGAAAAAGGTGACTGGCAGTAATATCTAAAATTAGTTCTGGAGGAATAATGCTCTCATCCCATATGTAAGGAGAAATTTTTTTAAAAGTTGAGATTGGAGATGGTCATAACATTGAAATAGGATTTGAACTTCTCCTCCTCCTCCTCCTCTTCCTTTTTCTTCCTGTTCTTCCTGAAACTCAAGTAGAGAAAAGGGATAAAATGTGTCCTGAGGTCTGTAGGTATAGATAAGGGAGGGGAGTAATTATCACAGATAGCAGTTTGGAGCTTGAGTAGGGGGAATGGATTTTGTAGCTAAAAACCAGGGAATAGACTGTGAAAAGGAAATTCTTAATTATCTTCATGTGCTTTGGAATGTGTGTTTTAATAGCAGTTCTTTTTATGTAAGGCATTGTTCTTGAACTTTTTTCCCTTTTACGAAAGTATTTAAAACTTTCCAATCTACTTACAGAAAAGTGCACAAAATGGAAATGTTCCATTTAATGAATAGCTATAAGTCAAACATTCTGGTAATTGCCACCCAGGTCAACTTTGCTTTTTCTTGCCCCTGTATACCTCAAAAATGTAACATTTTTTATCAGTAACAATAACTAATAACAATTATTTAAAAAATCTTAACATTTATTGTTTGCAGTGTACCTGTACCAAGTATTTTATGTGGATTATTTAGTCTTCACAACAATCCTGAGAAGTATGTGCTGTTATTATCCACATTCACTGCTGAGGAACCTTGAGGCCCACGATTCTTAAGTAACTAGCCCTACGTCATGGGTGAGGGGTTGTAAGCGGCAGGACCTAGGCTTCTAGTTAAGCAGTATGGCACTAACACCAGAACTCTTGCTCATGTTCTTTGCCGTATGGCACTAACACCAGAACTCTTGCTCATGTTCTTTGCCGTCTCTCCACTGCGTGGAGCCTTAGACCTGACTTGTATGAAATACATCTGAAACTTAATTAATGGGAAAAATATTTAAGAAATCTTGGCTATTTCACAGAAGCACCTGTCTTGGTGTTTTAGAACCTTGCTAATAAAAATTGTTGATATCTTAATTATCATTTGGTTTATTTGCCTTTTTCTTGCCTTTTTACTATTAGAAAATTTCCTTATTAGTAAGGAGCTAGTTAGTTGGTTTCACCAAGGATGTAACAACCCGTATCCTTGGGCTTAACACTTAAACTTTATGCTTAAGTTTCTAATGCTGGGGATAATACACATTTTCTCATTTGCAAATTTGACCAGCATTACCAGACTTGCTTTTTTTTCTGGAGCCTCTGTTGCTAAATGGTACTACCTAATTGCTCAAG